ACACACACACACACATTCTCGTGCAGACCTCACAGTTTACTTTCTTGTTGTGCATGAGAGCCCCTGAGTGTGAAAGCCTCTACAGCGACCGCTACCGCCCGCCAGCGTGCACGCGCACACTTTAAAAACACGCGCACACACACACAAGAATCACGCACTGATATTTTTAGCCATTGTACAGCCGTTTTATTCATCAAAGCCTTACCACAAATCTTTGCACTCCTGTTCTCTCTCTATTAGTATCTCGCACACACAGACACAAACACAGACATCAGGCTTCAGTATGTATTGTTTTGATTGTGTTTCTCGCACACTGTCCCGCTCCTCAGCCGGGAAAAAAAAAATTGAGGTGAGAGTCATACGCAAAGCCTTATTTCTCCAAATCCTCTTATCCCTTTTGTTAGATTCAAAACATTTCTGAGTTGTAGCCGGCGCTGTTTGTCTCAGACGGCGAGGATCATTACTTTTTGTGTATCACCTCAGACGGGCGCGCTTGCTTTCATGATGTAAGCACAGAGCAAGACTCGCTCATTCACAAACGAGCCTCGATCTTTTGAGGAAAAAGCACACGCCCGCCGTCGGACAGTCAAAAAAAGAGAGAGGCGGGACGGTCCGGAGCAAAGTTTTTTTACTCGTTTGATTTCGCCGATAAACTTATCCTTTGACGTGTTTTTTAAGTGGTTGTTAAGACTTCTCCATATGTGAGTCTTGTGGTGTAATGGGCCAAAATCATGTTTAGATGCCAAAGTGTGTTATTGACATTCTCATAGTCAAGCCGTTTACATGGCACAGTGTTGTCAGTCTATTCAACTGCCCCCGATACCCCTCCCTGAAAGCCTAGTTTACGCTCTGCAAAAAAAAAAAAAAGGCAGCATTATTTTCTACAGAAGCTCACCAGTCGCCTTAACCAGGGAGCGTTGTACCAGTATTATAAGAGTAGAAGATGTTGTCAAGTCAATGATGTGTGCCAAGTCTAGGTTCACTTTTTTTGTGTACAGTTAACCTCCCATTCGTCAAAGTCTGGGTTTCGCTCTTCCGCCATTTCGTCCGATCGGGGGCCGGAGCTTGAGAAGCTGAAATGGCCGTTTGTCCTCGCAGCAGTGAAGGAGGAGAGAAAAAAGGAGGCGCCTGTTTTCTCCGTCTTGGTTGTTGTCTCCCAGGCTAACCGGGGTTATTAGAAACAGGGCTATGTGGAGAGACATCTTATTGGAATAGCGACAAGGGAAATAAAGCGCTTGTTGGTTGGAGAGGAAGGGTCACGTCCGCAGGTCCGCACAGGAAAAACAACAGCCACAGCCGAGATGAAGGCAATACAGCTTTCATTATCCACTCAAAGACCAAACCCAATACCAAACTTTATCTGATCTCAAGAAGGGAGGCGAGCAGACTTTTTCCTAAATGCAGTATACACATGAGCAGTGCCACAAACAGCCATAACTACCTGTATGAAAGCTGGACAAGACCAGTTCAATCAGTGTTAACGGACCAGTTTTCTGAACCAGCGTGTGTGCAGGTTTTTCACGTCGTATAACCGCTGCAGCGTCAAACCCTTTGCATCCGAGAACTACGATTGCACATCTTCACACCGTCACCTCGCTCTCACACAATTCGCACGACAACTTCTATTCGTTAAGTGTGGAGGCTACGTCACCTGTGCCGTCGCAAATGTCGACTCACGGCGCGCTACTTTATACGGCTGTCTGCGTGTTCTCAGACATTTTAACTGTCCCAAAAACTATGTCGTAAATTGCCAAATCTCACCGAGTTGCACACAGCCCGACGTTGCACAGTCTAGTGTGAAGCATCTTGTCTTTGTTTCAATGTCGAAGCACAAGAGGGTCGTAGAAACAGAGTTTCTGTCGAGCGGCTCACCTCAGGGGCTGTCATCGCCGATGCTCGTTGTAATCTTTCTATCTTGTCACTGTTCACTTCTCTGTTCTCCTTCTTTCTTAATTATCTTAAGTGCTATTTATCAAACAATGAAATCTGAAAGGAAAAAAAAATTGAACTTGTCGTTTCTTTGCATTATGGCTTATGTCAAGTTTTTTGAGGAAAAATGTTTTGTGTGTTCTCTTTCCGTGCCGTAAAAAAGAGCTTGTTGTCTGTAGAAATTATCCAAATTCTTTTTATTTTTTTTATTTTATTTTTGTTTCTTTCAATTCTTCAAAAAGGTTTTCAGTAGTTTCAAAGTTATTGTCTTGAGAGAAGCCAAAGTCAATGCATTTCAGTGGATCCTGTAAGCGTGATGTATGTTTGTTTGACAACACTTCGAAATCTGTCACTGGATGGGATTTAAAAAGTACAAAAAATGCAGGCTTTCCTATTTCTACAACTGATTGTACTTATGCATTTTGTACCAGTGGAATTTTTTATACTGGAGATTAAAGGATACAACAAAAAAATCTTAGAAAAAAAGCTGTCTGGCCTGGTGGTGTGGCCTGACCCTGACTGTTCCCCGAGTATGATTTCTAGCTGGCATCAAGAAAGTTGGCTTTTGATATAAGATTTTCTAGAAGATCTTTGGCTTTATTTCTTTCACTTCTTTTTCCTCACTTGAGTGTTGTTCTTTCTTTCTACCTTTCTTTCGTTCTTTCTTTGTTTTCCCGAAAAACAGAGGGTAGGTGAGTGTCAGACCTTTCGGTTTTGCTTTTTAAATAGTTCTAGCAAGTTTGTCTATACAACAGCGGTAAGTTTCATTTGACTTCTGTATTGTGCCGTCTACACGATAAGACAATTATAGAAAAAGAAGGAATAGAAATATTTAGTCACCTTCAGTGGATTAATGTATTAGTTTAATAAAGAGATCAACTAATTAGAAATTTTTTGCTTTTAGCTGTTTAGATTTTTCCGGTTTCTCTGTCCTTCTCTGTGAACTAACTGTGTAGCTGAAGCAGTCAGAATTATTTTTGTAAACGTATGTTCTTGTGTGATGCAGTTTTTTGCTTCTGTCTCCTATATTAAACCATTTTTCCTAATACTTGTCTCTCTCTGTGTTGTTATGTTCCAGTGCCTGTCTGATGTTGTACTGTTTCACAACCTCTCCCTGCCATTCTCTCGTTTTCTCTCTTTCTCTTTCTTTCATAGTCTCTCTCATTCTATCTTTTTTTCCGCGTGTTCACATTTTTGTTTTTTTTACCACATAGTAAAGTTGACTCCATCCCCAGTGACAACTCACTATGCTGTTCTCACTAAACATAGTAAATATACATCGAAGTGTTTGTATGTATATTACTGTGTAGCCCAAGTCGCCGCGTGACAGTCGAGAAATAAGTCGTCACCCTAAAAAAAAGACGACCAGACGGGATCCTGGGAATCCTGCTGACTCCATATTGAATTTCAACCAAAATTCAACCAGTAAAAACTAAGGAGCACATTAGCTGGGTGTAGAAAAGCTGAACGCATTTTCTTCTTCGCTTAAAGGAATCGACATTTTGGGAAATACGAATACTAGTGCTAGGCAGTCACAATAGCTCTCCACGCTTCTTTCTAGTTTCACTGTACTGGACTGTTTAGCTCTACAAGCTAGCGAGCTTGCTAACCGTTGAGCTTGGTCGTTAACGGGCCAATAAGTTTACACGATTTATTCAAAAGCCTAACTGTCTGCAAACTATTCCTCTTTTGGGAACCTGCAACAGAAGAAGTTAAATAAAAGTTGTCTCAGAGTCCTGTTGTCAGTGTCTAGTTTCCAGAAACAACTGCACTCGGCCAAGAAATAGTCCGGCTCATAATCTTGCGTAAAACCACAACTAATTTTCAGTTTGTGTAGAGACAAGATACAACGTGTTAGTGAGCTTCAGAAGTGTGCCGTAGATTTATTTTGTTAACTTTAGACGGAGCCATGCCAGCTGATTCCTCAAATTTCCGGTCTCTATGCTAAGCTAAGCTAACCGGCTACTGGCTGTCGCTTCATATTTACGTTACAGACATGAGGGTGGTATCAATCTTCTCATCTAACTCTCGGCAGGAAAGCGAATTAGCGTATTTCCCAAGATGATGAATTATTTTAAGTACTGCATTTTGAATTCTGTCTGATTTACGAAGCTTCTTTACTCGCTTAAATCAACTGAGAAATGCTAAAATGCTATTTGTTTTCGCACTTCTCCCAGCTGCTGTGATAAAAGCTTAGCTCAAACTGGAATTGGCTGTTGCTTTCAATAAGCGGGCCGGCTCTGATCAGGGAACAGCTAAACTGTTTATTGGCCCCTGCGAGCGTTCCCTCAATCGGGGATTTGGCGCACGCCGTCCTCCTTCCTGTGCTGTCCGCTGTCCTGGGCGAGGCCTGTCCACTGTATGTCCACTTTGTGTTCGATCCACTCCCGTACTGTCTCACCGTCACAACTGCATCCCCAGTAGAGAGAGAGGAAAGAGAAGTCAAAGGTCAAAGTTTTCACCTTTCATTCACAGATACCAGGGAGGGTTTGACATGGGTTTGAATAAAAACAGATTTTTTTCTTTGCTCCACATTTTGAAGGTTAACCCAGAGAAGTGATTGTAGTACTAGGAAATGAAAAATGGGAAGATCTGGACAATACTGGCTGCTTTCTGAAAAAATAAAACCACATTTATCTAATAAATCAGACACCCGGCAGATTCCTGCCCTTTAAACCAGCTTTTAAAACCAAAGCTGCAACCCTCAATGCTCTGAATTCTTTATCTTTATAACTTCATACTACAAATATCCACGTTGCTGTACATTATGTGCTCTCTGGCACATTATGGCATCTTTTCCTTTCATCACTGCACCAGTCCACCAAGTCTGTTATTAAATATTGATTGTGAGGTTCAGGCAAGGCATACAATAAACTGCCCTCAGTCTGTGGATCTAACCCATGGATAGATAATTTTACACCTCTTATTATTGTCGACGTGTGGACTGTAATTCAGGAACATGGCTGCAGCTCAAGGTTTTATTTTTTCCTTTATGTTTTTCTCTTTCGTTTTTGCTCTTCAAGTTTTATTCCGTCTCGCAGA